TAGTCTCGCTTGACTGCCGACTGAGACTGCTCGAGTATTTTTTCTGAGTCATTGTCTAAAACAGAAACGGCTTTATCTTTCTTCTTCCTGCTAGACTATACTTCTGGTACTCGTTCAATGCCTGGACAAGACTTTCTTGTACCTTATCTTTTGCCCAGTCATGTAAAATATTATCTAAATTCTTAAAACTTTCCGCCATTTTAAAACACAGAAGGAAAAACTTTGAAATGATGACGTCAATCGTGCGTCTGTCCTCTAATAGATCATAGGCGAGAACCAATCAAAATGCGAGAATAACTTGGGTTATTATATAAAACTCAATAGTACACGCTATGGCGTTTACCATTTGTTAACTAGTAGTAATCAGAGATTATGAGAGTGCGTTCGACGCTCTCACTTTAATATATGCATATATGCCGTAAAAAACGTGATTTCACTAGCTGACTATTAACCTTTCAGTCTATTGGTAAAATCAATTTTTTTCAGCAGCAACCGAGGTTTTATAGTCAGATACATGTATGCATAGTGTCAAAGTCCATGCTAGTGAAAAGGTCACGATTAGTTGATACGTTGTGTGACGCCGCCAGTTTCTGTAGACTCTCAAGTGCGGCACACGCTCGTACAGGCTGCGAGGATTTTTGCGGATGTAGCGCGGGGAAATGGCGTCCGAAATTCCCGAAATGTTTGATGCTCTTGGCCCGCAACTCAATACAATCATGTCTGTTGGAATTTTGCTTCAGTGTTTTCGTCGTAAGCTGCTCCAGTTTGAGTGAAGTAAGACAGTGTCAAATTTAGTTATGTGCCACTTTATATCACTGACCAAGTTGTGTTCTGCAGCTTCTTTTACAAGGGCTCCACATTACTCCACTCTAAGTTTCACATATGTTGAAGATTGACAACTTTTCCAAAACACAGCAAAAAACTAGTTGGATATATTTGGATATAGCAGCGTTTCAGGACTTCAAAGTTTCCCTCTTCTTGCCACAAGCTTGCGAGGATTTCACCAGAGTCTATCTCGACCGAACAGTAAAAAAAAAATAATAATTGCAAGTTTGAAATTCGCCTGAATCGTAAGCACGCTTGATGTTTTATTAAGGGCCAATAAGTGACAATAAAGTTTATGTCTGTAGATGCTGCTCAGTTTTGTTTGTGTAAAAATCCAATAAATTGACTGTTGTCGATGAATAAGAGCGCCCGNAATGTTTGAGAACATATTAAAAGCTTAGCTGAAAATATGTGAATACAGCAGAAATAATCAGCTTTCTTTAATCAACTCGAATAGTCACGGTGCTCGAATAAAGATTTCGAGTTTGTTCGTTGAGCTATCAAAACTCCTTGTCTATTTTATTTTCGTAGTGTAAAATTTTACTATGTTAAAGAAACACTCATGATGTTAGTAGCCTTTTGGCGTTGGTGAAAATTGTTGCAGCATCTCGGCACAAAGGACAGCGAAAAAAATCTTTGTCAAGATTTGTTGACAATTGAAAACACCGACTCGGGCTTGAAAGTGCACGCGCTGCACTATGCAAATGAGCTACTTGTACGCGTCAGACTTTCCTTTCAAAAACTTTTGCAAACTCGCCAAACAAACAGAAACAATAAGAAACTATCCAAACAGGTTTTGGTTATGATTAAGCATTGTTTGGAAAACTCACAAATTAACTCGATACCAGAGTAAAGAGTTTTCTTACATAACTTTTCTTTATAGAACAAGTGCAACTAACGCGAGCATTCATTCACAGCGCGAAATCGAAGTCATGTTTTCGACCCTGAAAAACTCACCTATTCCATTAGCTCAGAGGATAAAACTACATATAAGAGCCTTGGTTCTTATTCCCTGCCTTATTATTATTATTCCCTGACATCGCTGTGAAAAATCTGCAAGAGAATCTCGCAACTCTCACCATTTGATTACGCAACGTGACAACATCCACGCGAGAGGCCCCGACATGTGCGTGGATCCGCGTGGATATATGACGTCAGGATGGCGCAATTTGTTCTAAAAATAGAAAAATTGTCCCATATCATAGGCGTGCGCGGATCCCAAGACTTACGGTCTCCGTCCCCGATTATGGCTCCTGATGATTCTTGATAAATTCACTCAAAATGTTCGCTCGTAAATTGATCTCTCGTAAGGCTTGCAGACCGACCCGTCGCGAAAACGCTTAAAAAGTCCTTTAGTGTTGGTCTACCGCGAACGGTGTGCCCGTTTGTATGTGATTTCATTGCCCTAGAAATCAAGGAATCCGCTACTAGCTACTAAGATCGTAAGTTTCAAATAAGTGGTTTGGATAAACCTCATCCATCATCAATTTAAGATGCACTACTTAAAGTTCGTTATATGGTCAGCTTTTTGTTAAGAAGATTGAATTGATCTTAAATCATGAATCTTTATTCTGGAGGGATCTATTTAATAATTCTCATGTTACAGATGCGATGCGATGCCAACTGAGAAACAAAGCCACATATATTGCAAGCATTACGGACAGCAATAGTTTTTGAAGTTACTAGCGGTTCGACATACAAGCAAGGCGAAAGGCTCAAATTCTGCATTGTATCGACCCTTTCGTCTCGTTTGCATACCTTTTTAAACAAAAAAATACTTGACTACAGACTCATTTTCAATAACAGCTATTGTAAACCGCGTTTCATGCTTAAGACGTGGTCTAACTCTGTAGATTCTGCGAATAAGGAAAGTGATTAGTTAGTTAATAAGCTAGGTTTGGTGGCTGTAGGTAACTACTACTGAACTCACTTACCGACGCACTGCAGAGGTGAGCCTGTCCATTCCATAACATTATTAGCGCTCACATCACATTTTCGTTCCACACTACCGACAGCTTCGTAGCCTTCATAGCACTGCATGCGACAAACCGATGAGTATTCCCTGAAGCACTGACCCACGATAATGCCGTTGGCTGGAGGAAACAGGAATTCACATCGACGAGCTTTGTAGACAAGGAGAATTGAATTATAAGAACAATATCATGCTCTAAATGGGGCATTAAGAGTAGAAAGGTTTACTCTCAACTGGGCCAGGTTTGATGGTTTCATTTTTATCTTTTTTTTTTATTTTAAAAATGGCATGAAGTCCTTTTTACAAACGAATTCAAAACTTCGAAATGACAATGAAGTTCAAATATTGATGGCACGACTCGAGTTTTTGAGGGATAGGCTAGTCAAGTGCATCCATGCATCCAAATACGAGCAAAGGCGATTTTTAAAATTAATGTTATTCCAGTTTACTCATTACTGGTGCAATCAGGTGCAACACTCTACCAACGGAGCAATTAACCGAAACGTATTGAGCGCAGCAAGGGCAGTCCACGATACCAAAAAACTTGAAAGCGACTGATGCAGTTGCCCATAGTCCTTAGCCCACGAAAACTCTAACAACGCTCGTTTGGACGCACAAAAATTAAGAGGCTGTCTCTGTAAGAACCGACCTCTGATTTTACTTCGAAAATTCGATTTTTCTCATAAGCTGGGATTTCAAAGCCCTTACCTAGTCAATCATTAAAATGAGTTTTGTTTCATTAAAAATTCCAATTGAAGTTTTCTAGGATTGATTGAACTTCAGTCCGCTCGACACAGGTTTCATGCCTGCCGAAACTGTAAAAATAGCACATATTGCCGGCACTCTAAAAAAAATAATATTCGCTCAAAAGTCCCAATTCTTTTTTTCAACTATAGATATATCATAGCAGTTTGTTTAGCCATGTTGCAATTATAATTCAATGTTGTTCCTTCAACAGTTAAAAGAAGATTTTCTACCCGTTAAATCGAGTTTTGAACCAAACGCGGAAATAGCTCTACTTTGAAGGCATGTTTTAAAAATGTGGCACCTGTTTGAAACTGCCGAACTACATGAATAGAAAGTATAAATGTCCCTTAATTTGAAATAATAATAAAATTTGTCTGCCCACTAGGTTTTCAAAACTAACGACCGCTTAAAGATCAGGAAATTTAACTGTAGGTCTGTATATAAAGTAGATTTATACGTTCCTCATCTGTGTCGAGCGTGACCGTCACATACTTCGATGTTCTTTGTATTACTGACCATTGTTTTCGTCGAAGCCGATTTAATCATGTAGACTCCTCTTGAAAGGTTTGTACAAGCACTCTTTTGGACAACTCTCGGCACACAAATATGTATGAACAGTAAACGGTGATTCGGGAAGCCAAGGAAAGATTGATAAATGCCACGGCCATTTTGTGTTTACAACAAGTTATTTAGTTCTTAATCTTCCCGTCATACTCACGGGAAGATTGGGAACTAAATCACTTGTTTCTCTTAATTGAAATTTCCCTGTGATCCAGTGTTATCTAAAAATTCCCTCTGCAGATTGTAATACTTACTATGTGGGTGAAGACATCTAATACAGGGTTTAATCGTCACGGAACAAATTTAACGAAAATTTTAAATTTTACCTTTAGTTTTTTACTTGTAAATAAAGGTGTCTATCTATCTACCTTGAATGGACTTAAATATTTGTGTGTTGCTTTTCGGCAGGTTGAAGCTAGAGCGAAACTTGAAGGAAACAAAAAGTGGACGTTTTAATTTTGAAGAATGTTTCAATAAACTTTTAATGTGAGGTAATACATGTACAACTTCGTCTTTGTTGTGGTTGTTTTTTGAACGAAAAGCATGATTTACAATCATGGACGCACGTCTTGGGAGAAATTTTCGACTGTGTCACTTTTTCACACACGCCAAACAAACTAGACTTTCTAAAAGTCCTTTCCAATAACACTTCCCTGGCCTGTTGGTTTCGCCGTTGGAAAAGACTTTTCCCACTTGCAGCGCGCCAAATTTACCAGAGGATTTTTCCACTGGTGACGTAAAAACACGTTAACCAATGAAAAACAAATACTGACCTTACGTCATAATAACGCGCGCGACCAATGACACTTCTGGCAGAGCAAATGTATGCTGAATTTTTAGGAAGCAATTGAATATTGGCTATCCAAACTTTTATCCAAGTCTTTGAAAGAAAGGCAGAGACAAGCAGTGGAAGGCTATTTATCCGTCTCACTGTTGCAGTCTGGAGTCTGTGGTTTCTTACGTGATCTGGATCGTTTGAGAAAAGTTTGGACCGTTCGAAGAAGAACAGAGCTGTTCGTGTAGTTTGTGTTATTATTGCACTTTTGATTTAATGAATGATCAATTTTCTTCTCTACAAAGAAAAAATATCGCAGCAAAATTGCATCGGACGTAATTTTACCGGGTTGGAAGTAGTCGTCGATGAATGAATTTCGGGAACAGCGCTTTTATTTTCCATGTTGTTTAATCAAGAGAGCTTTACAGAACTAAAGCCCTCCCCGGACAATTTCCAAAAACCAGGTTCCTGCAGAGCAAAATCTGATGAAAAAAAACAAATCGTTCAGTGGAAACCATGGGGGAAAAATCGGGAAAGTGCTGTCTACTAATCAGGTCTTGCGTTTGGCGTTTTAAAAAATATTGCACAAGCTATTGCTGACCAAAAATTAAAGAAATCATGCTCAATTAACTTACAGTGGGAAAAAATTCATACCCCAGAAAATTGCCTAATTGTCCCCGTCTGTCCCATAAATGGATAAAACCAAAGGAAACTACGAAAAAGTCGTGGATACATTACCTGCGTACATTTACTTGATCTATAATTAGTTTATGGTTGATAGTTTTTGAAATAACTTTTTGAAAGCCTTTTTGAAAGCTCAAGTAGAACATGTGCATTCTGACTAGGCAAGTAAACAAAAATCAAATTACAGGCTGTTTATAAAGACTGCTTATAAATTTTAAAATGGAATATATCAATTAATTTCGATTGGCATTGGAAAATAATAATAATAATTATTATTAAATTCTCAACCTCGGATAATGCAATTCTAGCCTTCTGATTGGTTCACTAGATCTCGGTTACCAGCCATTATACCTGCGTTTGACCTTATATGGAAATGAATGCGGCAAATGTTAAGCATAAAATTTTTCCCGGGAAGCCAAGTTTCGTCGACAAAAAAAAAAAAAATGGATGAAAATAGCAGATTTGGTGAGCTATCCACGGACGAAATACAGAAATTATGGAAAAGGCTGTCCCAGAAACAACAAAAAAAGCCACAAAGTTCGGGGTGAGATTAGTTAGCGGTAAGTACCCGTTAATTTTCAATTAAGAGTTGCAAAATTTCAAATACGACCGTTGAAATTTTTACGCATTCGTGAAGGTTACGTAACAAAAACAACAATATTTACCTTAATGTTACAGAATGGCTTGCTAGTCCTGGTGGCACCACATTTTCAAAACCAA